TTGTATCCTGATAAGATTTTAGCCAAAGTTGTACTCTACATCTCCAGTTAGTTGGACTGAAATGTGATTGCTGTGAGGGACGGAATATGCAAATCCGCACAGTACACAACAACCAATTACCATGCACCCAGTGACGTACTTCATGTGGAGGAGTTTCAGTTATACTGGGAGGGGTTTTTGTTGTACTGGGAGGGATTTTGGTTGTTGAATCTGTTCTGGAGAGACGGATGTGTTAACACAGTGGTCTGAGTGATCGAATCTGTTTCAAATCCGTCTTGCGTGTGTTTACGCTTGCATTTTTTAGTGGCTTAGTCTTGTCCAGATATAATCCTACTCAACATGCATGAAGTGACCAGGTGTAAACAGGTTCAAAGCGCTGGAAACAAACCTTAGATATTGCGGTCCATGTTGCCATGACTCATGTCTTTGCTGAAGACTTATCAGCTAAGCCTTCATACCGTGTTCTACCATGACTAAGAGGTGCTCTATTGGATTCAGATCTGGTGACTTTGGAGGTCACTGCAGTCATTGTCATTTTCATGAATCAGTCAGAGATGACTTGTGCTTTGTGACAAGGCACGTTGAAGATGGCTAAATTGCGGACCTGAATTTGGTCAGCAACAATACTCAGACAGGCTGTGGCAAACGATGCTCGACTGGTATTTGGGGGTTTCAGTGTGTGCCAAGAAAAATTCCCCACATCATTACACCACCACCACCAGCCTGAACTGCTGACACATTGGGTCCATGCCGTTTACGTCAAATTCTGACATCCGAGTGTCACAACAGAAACCGAAATTCATCTGACACAACATTTTTCCACTCCTCAACTGTCCAGTTTCGGTGAGCCTGCACCCAATGTAACCTCAGATTCCTGTTCTTGGGTGATAGGAATGGAACACTTTGTGCCCCTCAGATGTTGTAGCCAAGAGTTTTCAGAGATGCTTTTCTGACCACCACTACTGTAAAGAGTAGTGATTTGAGGTACTGAAACATTCCAGTCAGCACTAAAAAGTTCGGCCCTTCATTTTTATTTTTGTAATTATTATTCTGTGTAAGATCTAGAGACTGTTGTGTGGGAAAATCCCAGGAGATCAAGAGTTTCTCGACTGTAACTCAACAGTAACTCAAGCCAAGTCATTTAGATCATGTTTTCTGTTCATCATGACAGTTTTTTATTATAAGAGGAATCAGCAAGACAATGTAAAATATGCATTATCATCATGCAAACTGCCAACTAATCATTGCTGTTACAGCAAGAAAGTAAATTTCAATCAATTTTAATCAATCCATCGAGTTCAACTGAGCAATCGTGACAGCCCTTCTGCAGTTTAGCATTTTCCCTTCTCCAAAACACCTGAATGGTCTGGACCGCTGAGCTGAATCAGTGCACGGGCATGGGCAGGGAAAACACTACATCATGTAGTTGGACTAGAAAGGAGGAATACTGGCAAATTAGTGTGCAACTGCTTTTCTATAGAGCTAAATATAGGAAAGTATATGAGCTCTGATGAGAGAGGAACAGAAGAAAAGACACTGAAGATTGATCAAATATTCATTTGTGGGGGTCGAGCGCTTCATTGCCGGTGGCATACGCACCGAATCTCTCCTAGTAAATGAGGAAGTTGTACTCTCTGAAGAGCAAGAATAAGATGATGCATGAGCAGCTGTGCTCTGATTAATTTCACTCCTCCACACTGACTTCAGAATGCACCAAAATCTATTTCGCACCACTAGGGTGCACTCATCAAAAGAGGCCACTTTACTTTATAATGAGGGCCAACTGGGCTCATGGGAATGTGACATGACAGGAATCCGATGAGACAAATGTTTTTATCTGTGGAAAAACGGTTGGGGGCCAGTGGCTGGCGTGGTCAGGCTATGCTGATTAACTTCATTTTTCATGCTGTTATCTCTGACAAATGTTTTAGCTGGCCACAACAGCAGGTTACCCATCCGCTACTAACGCAGATTAGTTTGGGCTGAGTCATTTGTTTCACATTCGTCAGCTCTGTTAGGATCCATACACTGTGCGTTCGCGTGTATGCATGCACACAAGAGTAGGTTGTTAGCTAGGGGAAAAGGGTGGCAGATAGACAACAAATCGAGTCCTACATTAGCAAATGACTGTTCAATATTACAGGTGTGGGCATGAAATTAGTTAATCGTTTCTCTGCTATTGCATCAGGACTGCTATTAAAAGCATTTATCTTGTGGTTCAACCTCATTCCTCAAATCCCTACACTACACAGCCTAACTCACCCAGCAAATCAGGTTAGCTTCTGGCCCTATTAATAAGAATAAGGAAACATGCAACACTTTATCACCATTTTATTCCCACACCTTTGTCTTTTTGACAGATTGTATGGAAAGGGTAGCTCTCCTGTGTTGATAGCATCTGGACTTTCAATCTTCCTTTCCATTCTGGACCAGAAAAGCATTAATCTAGATCAGCGGTCCACACAATATTTTATAGCGGGCACAACCTAGTCCTCATTGGATGGGCAAAGGCTTTTTATTGTTAATTGATTTTGTCTTTTATAGCCTATAAATCTATTACTTTTATCCAAGGTCATATTTTGAATGTTTGCAAAGGTCTTCCAAGAGTTTTCAGACATAACTGTTAAACTTAGGCTATATGTGGACTGCAGGTGAAAGTGTCCCAAACCCAATTTACTGTTCAAATCTGTTTTTTTTTTGGTTTTGTTTTCATTCACATTTAATTTTTAATGTGACTTATTTCTCCCAACAGGCTGAAGAGTTCTCACTCCAGAACTGATCTGCATGCACAAAAGGGCTTCTTATGATTAATTGATATTGTCTTTAATAGCCCATAATCTCTTAGTTTTATCTAAGATCATATTTATTGTCTGCCAAGAGTTTTTTTAGACATAATTGCTGAACTTAGGCTACAGTCTGGCTGCGGGTAAAATCATCTCAAATCCAAACTAAAGTATCCTTTTTAATTATCTTTTTAATGTGACCTGTACGCTCAAGAACTGACCTGCATGCGTAAAAGAAAACTGATCCACTCAGCACGCTCATCCAACAAAACACAGCTGTCCTCTACATCAATACACTCAATGGAATCAATAGACTTCACGCTACATTAAAATGTGCTGTGCAGACTGCTACTTTAAATTTGAAGGACAAACAGCAGACACTAAAAAGACCATGTCGAACAAAGTTTACACAGAGTAAAAAAATGTGCACTTCTGTGCTTGTTTTAATTGTGAAAGCTGATTAAGCAGAGAAAGGAAGCTCAGTTTCTGAATGCAAGAGCTGCAAACTCAGTGGCAAAACCGCAATGCATAGCGGTAAAGATATTTGGTCTATGTGAGGCTCCTTGGTGCCTTTTTTAATATATGTGAAGTACACCTGATTTTGAATACGTTTTAGTTTGAATTCTCTTGTTAGACAACGCTGTGTCCCTGATCTGTTCACACTACTTGAGCGTGTTACACTCATAACCTTAACAACAGGCATTTTAATGATGCTGCTGTCAGGTGTCTGTTCCTGTGTCCACAAAACTATGATCAAGATTGAGTTGGATTAGCATAAATTAGAATGAATTCAAATCTGACTATTCAGTCTTAGATCACATTGCCACATATAGGATGTGTATTTCAATACCACATATAAAAGAGAACCAAATCAGGACTGTAAATGTCAGATTCAGTGGGTTCAATTCAACTTTATAAAATATCAGTTACAGCTAGTATAACTAATAATATTAACTGAGATTGCTTTATAGCTAATGCTAAACCTTGTCATGATCACACCTTTAGAATTACATAACGACATGCGCTTGCTGAGAAAAAAAAGTGGCACTCTACTTATTTATATTAATATTGCTTAAAGCTAGTAGAACTAAAAAGACAAATGTAGAGATTGCTCTCTTGCTGATGGCAAAGATTCACCCTCAAGCTTCGGGTGTATTACCTTTCCCTGACCAGTTGAAATTGTGGGTTCCAAAAGCATTGCTAATTTAAAATAATGTACTTAAGGTTAAGAAATATGTTTTCTAAACCTGATCCCGCATGCATGACCACCACTCATTGACCACTAACCTAGACAAACATTGCAGTATCATTGCTAAAAATGCTAAAAAAAAAATTACAAGTGAGTTAATATGCACAACACATTTTGTTACATGTAACTGTTCCTGTATACACTACTACAATTTGTATTCAACAATATGCATGGTCATGTCTTCCTTTCTACAGTGTTTGCACAGGCTTACCATACAAACTACATACTAATATTACAGCTCCCTTGAGTTTTAGAAATACATATCAACTTACTCTCGCTGAGAAGTCATTTGTAACTCCATTAATGCCACTGAACTTCGTAAAAATGCATTTAGTTTTAATGCGCTTTCCATCAGAATGGCTTTTAGAAAATGGCTAAATTGAAGTCATTAGGCCTTATGCTATCCCATCAGACTGGGAAATTAAATATGGTTGAACGTTCAGCCAAGCTGTTTTCCAGGAGCATGACAGACCTGATATTTCAGAGCTGGCATGTTCATCATTCTCTTGTATTCTGGGGGTGAGGTATTCCTTAAAGCGCCTGTGTGTGTGTAAGTTTGATATTTAGTGTCTTTCAGTGAACTGCCTGCACCTTTGAGCTGAAGTATGCAAGTCCACCTCGAGGACTGACAGCTCCTCCAGCAGCGGCACCACAGAGACAGACAGCTGGGGAGAACAGGTCTATAATAGCACCCCAAGGGCCTGAGCTAAACTAGCAGATTGAAACCCCCCCAACCCCACCGCTCTCATTCTCTGAAAGACTAAAAACCTGGACACATGGATATATTTGCTCTCCACAATGAAAAGAAAAAATAACTATACTATATATATACAAAAGTGCATACAATATCAAAGGCTCTGTTGGACAGACACCTTTAACAGTGCATAGCAGTAATGGTACCACATTAATGATGGGCTATTTTGCAAGCTATTATCCGAGTGAATAAAAGCATGCAGTGACGCTCTTACCCGAATGTTGTCAAAAGAAGCTTTGTTGGTGACATCATACAGGAGCAGCAAAGCTGGAGGAAACAGGGAGGAGAAGAAAACAACAGAGAGGAAAACAAAGCGAGAAAGAGAGAGAGGGAAAAAGAAAGACAGTGGGAAAGAGAAAGGAAAGAAGGAAACAGAGGTGGTTAGTTATTCAGTTAACCAGAGCTCCCACCTGGGAAAAGTTCATCAAACATAAAAATCTCATTTAGTTCTATTACCAATTTACAAGAAAGTTTCTGTCTGGCCTTTGGTGCACCTCCTTTTGAACTTCTGCAGTGGCGGTTCCTATATGTCTGGCTTCTTTTATTTCTTCTCAAGGCTGAATTTTCATAATGCTGGGTAATTGCATTGCTCGCTCATTGTCAGCCAGGCTGACAAATCGGCTGCCTGGCCTAATTCGCTGGAACACAAGCATGAGTCTTTATCAGAGCCTGTCAGCGAGAAACTCAAGCACTAAGCTAATGAACTTTGGGTACAGCTAACGGAGCAGCAGGGTGCTGATTCTTATAGGCTTGAATGGATTTATGTTAAGTAGTTCTGTAGAACAGCATGAGTAGTCTGAAAGGAGATATATATTCACTTAGGTTGCTTCTATATTTGTAGTTCAGTTCCCTTGGTCTGGGCCAAAGCAAAAATTGATCCATTACTGCATTTTAATTCTGGTTCATTTACACCAATCTATTTGACACTGAACCAAAAGATACCAACAAAAGTCATATGAACAAAAAAATCACAACTGAAACAAATTTTAGCATGTACATTTGGCAAAAATAACTGGGATAATAGCCAACATACTTTCTGAAGAATGCTGCACTTGTTTTATGTATGCCTTGTGATACCCAGCAAACACACAACATTGTCACAACATTGCCTACTGTCTTACAATGTTGCATACAACATTGTCAAAAGGTGGTGCTGTTTACGTTGTCTGAACAAGGTCATTATTCAGTAACGTTTGTGTTATGACTACTTGTTGGTAACTTCGCGAAAATGGAGTTCCATGCACAACATAATGGAACCTATGATGATTCTAGGAGGTCGTGACAACATACTGACAACGTTGCCACTATGTTCTCACAATGCTGTCAGATAACGTTGTCACAACTTTCTGAGGAATTACATTTAAACATTGTGACAACGTTGCAGGCACCAAAACAATGGGTTGTCACAACGTAACTGTGTTTGCAGAGTATTCTAAAGCAATCAGCTGTCAGAGGCCATTCCATACCCATTCCAAGTAATCTCAATTACATAATAATTACTCATAAAATCTTATTCCACATCTCAGATGTCCAGTTTAAGTGCACAGTTCTAGTGCATACTTCTTTCTTTTTATCTGTTCCCTTTTCTCAGTAACAGCACCTTGACAGCTACGCATCCTTGCAGACTCATAATGTTGAGTTGTCTTCTCACAGTGGAAGGATGGACAGAAACACCTGTGGATTTTCCCAGATCTGAGTGGAGAGGGGTGCTTGATTTTCTTCTCTCTCTCAAAGATGAAAGCTTAACAAGCTGGTAACATCTGTGTTAGTTTGCCAGATCTCGCACAGTTGTTAGGTCGTAATTTTTTCCATATCTTTGAATCATTTTTGAACTCTATTGTTTTAACACGCATTTTCCTTTGACTTTCCCCTTCTTTACACAGAGTACGTTATAATGCTTTGAACATGTCTAATTTGAACATGTCTAATTTGAACATGTCTTTGAACAAAGTCATAATTTCCAGTACAGAGGTCATAGAGAGATTCTCTAACGCACATTGACATGTGAAAACAGCATCAGAAATGTATCTGTTGAACATACCAAAGAAGGTATGTGGAGGAGACTATGGTTCATTCTGTCTTTGCTGTGTTTTGCGTTCATAATTCAAAATAAACCACATTAAGAGTTCATTTTAAAGCAGACTGCTTACTGGTATGCTCCAGGGTTTAAATCGCAGTGCTCTCACTTATTCTAACAAAAAGCACTAACAAAGTAATCAAAATAATCAAAATTGCATAGAAAACTCACATAACACGCATAGGCTGGTTCTTTTTAATAGTAAATAAAATGGCTTTATTTGTGTTGTAGACCTATCACCACCACTGTAAAGAAATCTGAATTTCTCTACAGTGCATCATTTCACATCAAACCACTCTGAATGATATTGTTTATTATAACTACTGAATAACGTAGTACTTTTGAAAAATCAGTGGAATTCCCATTTATTTGAATACTAGGAAAATTCCTCCAAATCTTGAAGCTGGTAGGATCTTCTAAAAGATTATACATGCTAATATTACTGCTCAGAAGCTGACTATCACAACTGTATTCAGCCTCTACATCAGTAGCTATGCTGAATTCCCATTTACAGAACCTCCACATATGGGAAATGTTCTACACCAACTAAAGGTGTAAAAGTGCTAGAAGCAAGCCAAGAACCACTGAGGAAGTGTAGTGCAGAGCAAATTTAATGGATTTGACCTGGGACACCTTAAGCATTACAGGTCAAAATGCTCAAAAAGGTCAAAAACTTGGGATATCTTCACGCATGTAAATAATATGAATAAAATATCAAAGCACAAAGGCATTCGATTTAGCACCATTCTGTCATTCTGTGTGTCTGTGTGGGTACTGAAGTGAAATTTTAACCCAGCGTTTAAGAGAGTGAAGAGTAGGGCTGCTGCTGAGAGTAGAGGATGTGGAGGATGATAGGAAGGTAACAGAACCTTCTCCTGATTGGCTTCTCTGCACTCCTCTTATCTGTTCATTTCAGCACTCGAGTGTGTGTGAGCAAGCAGGTGTGATTTGCTGCATGCTCGGGTGGGTAGGCTTGTTTGTGATAGTACTTGAGTGTGAATGTGTTTGTATTCTGCATATATCTTTTTCTCCAAAGTCTCCAATATCAATGGTAATTTTCTCAGGAATAGAATCAATTCTTAAACAGATTTTATAACTCAACAGAGCTAAAATCCACATGCAAACATGCCTGGTCTAAACAGCTTTCTTCTTCTGCATCAGAAATGTGAGACTTGTTTGAAAAATGGACTTAACTGCCCGTCCTTTACTACTCAAGCCCTTCAGAAGATCTTTTTTTTCCTGTGAAAAGTGCAACTTTGGTATAACTGAAGTATTCAACACTGAGTGCTGTCAGAGAGTCAGCACAGCAGCAACTGGAGTGGGAGAGTGAGAGAGCAGAGAGAAAAACTGACAGAACAGATGAGATCTGATACGCTTAAGAAGACACGGTAGTAAACTCCAATTGGGGAATGAGAGGTTCCAGAGGGAGACGAAATCAGACTCTTTCCATCAAAAAGAAAAGAGCTGGAAATGGAGCAGAGAGAAACAGACGGCTCTGCTTTATGCCCATTTTTCATGGGTAATATCTGATCTACTGATTTTCAGTGTCCATTTTACTGATTTGAAGTGTCCGATCTACTGATCGGGGCACTTTTTCACAATCATCTCGACGCAGAGATCCCCCAAAGGGAGACTTCGGACAAAATAGAAAATGCAACCATATGCTGTAACCATGCCGACTCACATGCCCCAGTAATTTCTAGAGTGAGATTTCCTGATTTGAGTACTAGTAAAGCCCCTTCTGAGGATGTATTTTGAAGATGGGAAACACTTTTGAAAAACTACAAGCACTGGTTAATGCAGACACCTAACATTATTGCTGAATATCACAACTATATTTATTAACCCCTACATCAGTCGCTATGCTAGCAGTCAGGATTTCTTTATTGTCATAAGGGAATTTTACAATGTTTGTATGATATATTTGTGTAATGCATGCTAGGTATTGTAGGAACAGAACACTGATGAAGGAAAACACAAAACTTACAAAATCCTGAATTTTGTCAAATCAACGAGGCTGAGGGAACTCTGTGCTGTAGAATACTGCATAACACAGCAAATAATATAACAGAATGCTAGTTTTAGGCTGGAATGTCCTATTGTTACAGTGTTCACAATGATACTAATGTTTTACTTCTACAATGGTCTTTACACTTTACACCTTTGAAAAAAAAAACTCATCCCACTAGCAGTGAATCCAATGACAAAATGATCAACTGCTGTCACCCTCTTTCCTATAACCCTCCTGAGCTGGCTGTTCAGTCACTAGGGCCTATCGATGCACAATTCCCTCTGTCATGCAACTACCCATCCTCTGGTTCTCATGTTCAGTGTTTAAAGGGGAATTCCAATGATTTACCAATATATCTGCATATTCAAATGTTTGAGATATAAACAAAGTAATTCAGAGCAGTTCGATGTGAAATAGTTAATTGTAGACTAATTGTACACTATTTAAGATTTTCTTTACAGTGGTGGTGATAGGAACCACAATGTATACAACACCAATGTAGCCATTATTTTCTATTCAAAATGACCAGTGAACCTACAAATGTCTTCTAAGCTTTTATTTGTTATGTTAATAAAGGTAAAATGTTGAGAGACGTTGCCAAAGCAGTTTCATAGAAATCTAGGACCAAGCCTCTAACGCGCAAGCCAAGAGTGACAGTGGCAAGGAAAACAAAAACAACCAAGACTCATCCTTCTCTGATTGACACCGGAGAGCAAAACAAGGTCGTAAGTCACAATCTGCGGGGTCTAAGCACAACGAGGCCTTGTGTGCCAGCTTTAGGACACAGAAGACATACAGTGGGCAGTAAGATTACTCAGAAAGGCCTTCATTTGTAGTGATTATAGATGAGGGACCTCTAAAACATACATCCACAAAGATTTGCATAGATTCATTTTGCGAACGTTATCCTAGACAGGGAATTAAACTCAGAATCTTAGTATTCGCAGGCAAACATTTTCATGGTGTGCAATAAATCCAAACAAATAAGTTTTGAGGACCATTGTGTCTTACAACACCTTGTATGCACCACTCCATTATGGAAAAAAAGGTGTCTCACTAATCTGGCAATGTATTCATAATTTCATGTAATAGCTTCCTGTCATGTACCTTTAAAAGGCACTAAACACTTTGGACATCTGTTTCCATCATCACCGCTTGGAACAAATTTGAATTCTGCAA